TTCCTTGTGGAATAAAATGAATTGGAAAATCATATATTAAAGTAATGAATGTAAAGAGGTATTAACTGGAAACTCCACAGTACTGGTAATAGTGCATAATGGTTTGTGTAAGCATTTAGTTTTCTATCCAAATTATCCACCCAAAAGCTTGATTATCGACATGTATCTCTGTCCTTGACCAATCCAGAAACAGTCTCATGCATAGCAATAGAAGTAGGGAGCGAAACCAAACACAGCGACGCTTACCGATTGCTTTTGATGCGAACATGCGCGCAGATGAACGCAGCAACCGTCACTAAGGGCGTCATGCCTAATTTTAAGAAATAAGATGCTCTGGCACAAGTCCATCACGGGCATGCTGACCTCCACGGGAACTATTTAAAGTGTATGACCACCGAAGTGGTACGGCCGATAGGCTTCCTTTGCTGTGTTTGGCTCCCCATAAATCATCTCTAAACAAAAAGAAAGAATGCACTCATCAATAAGGCAATACCAAAGGTTCTACAATGTCGCTTTGCTGTTGTTACCTTCAACACCGATACCAGGGAAACAAGTGAGAGAGCCAAACACAGCGACGCTACCGATTGCTTTTGATGCGAACATGCGCGCAGATGAACGCAGCAACCGTCACTCAGGGCGTCATGCCTAATTTCAAGAAATAAGATGCTCTGGCACAAGTCCATCACGGGCATGCTGACCTCCAAGGGAACTATTTAAAGTGTATGACCACTGAAGTGGTACAGCCGATAGGCTTCCTTTGCTGTGTTTGGTTCCCCATGAATCACCTCTAAACAAAAAGAAAGGATGCACTCATCTAATGGGGCACACCTTTTGATATGTCAAATTTAAAACGTTTTACAAGAACAAATCTGTTGCTGTTACCTTAAAAAGAGCTTCATTGTATTGAAAGACTGCCGGTCATCTTAAGAATTCAAAAAGCTTTCTTTTTGTTGTATGAAAACTAAGAAAATAATAAATAAAAAAACTTACCTATCACTACTTATAAATAAGTTGGAGATATAAACATAAAAACACAATCAATTATTCGATGTATACAAATGCAATCGCTACCTAGGGCATCTGGCTTATATATCGTGGCATTCCTTGTTTTTCAATGGACTGGAGTCATATTTTTTAGTTTTTTATTCTCCTGGGCAGCCCATATTACATTTCATACTCCATTTCATTTTGCTCATCATAAAATAATGCACAGGACTGCTGCGGCTGACATTGGCACTGATCAATCTCGCGGACCCTGACCTTGTTACAATCAGCCGAGCTATGCAGAATGCCACAGAATTCGAACTGACTGCACTCCTATGCATCGCCATCATCCAAGCCATATGGTGCGCGCACTAGGCTGTCATCTTTGATAACCAGCTATTTACACCACAGGCAGTGGCAGCTCATGCCTCTGTCATATTTCAACAAACAAATATTTAGCTTTATCTTCTCTTTGTCTTTGCTTCTTTCACTGTATGTTCATCCTTTGTCCCTACTTTCATATATGTATCGGTACTGATAGTCAGTCACTCCTCCTGGACTCTCTGTCAGAATAAAAATCAATTTGCCCAAGGGCTATCAAAAAAATGCACACGACTGCTCGTAGCAGCAAAAGCTATCGACGCAATACAAAAACATATTTGGGTGTCACCAAAGAGGTGGGATAATACAATTAACTACTGTAAAGTAATCGGGAAGTTAGAATGTAACAGGACTTGTTCTATTTGCTTCCTTTTTCAGGGGGAAGATCCCCCAAGTGAGAGTTTATTTTCTCTGCAGTCACGTGTGTCGCAATTTAGACAGAGGCGTACTGCGTGATGGACGAACAGTGTATTATACATGCGAGACTGTTCTATTCCCTTCTATTGAACAAGTGCTCGTAATTAATATCTTTGGGATGTCCGCCTCTCATATAAAAGAAGATACACACGACTGCACATTACTTTCAGGTTTCTCAGTAACAATAACCATGGCAACCTTGAATACTAGTAAGCTATAATTTATACATTTTAGAAGCTAGCAACTAATACTATGGTAACTAATACCCATAGCAACATAAGATTAGAAATTCGGAGATATATTCTTGGCATATCATACAAAAAGGAGGCCAGCCAAATATCGAAACCTTTGTTGCAGACACAGAGAATCAGGATGCTATCGACGAATGGTTGATTCAAAACAACTCTGCCACGAAAGCGAAAAAAGGACTAATTCGGAAGTTCCGAATACTCCAAAAGATGTATCAAAAGAAGGGAAAGAGATCATTAGCTGGTCAAGCGGATGTGAACTGGGAAAGATGCTTTGAAAATGCAAAAACAAAGCAAGCTTTTTTGATCAGTGGTTCAGTCGTATTACGTTCAACAGCGCAAAGACTAGGACAAGAGCTCTCAAGTCGTATAGAGGTAAACAAAATAGGGATGGTAAAAATATTATACCGTGACTGACTTGGAATGAAAATTGTTATCTCATATATACATTAAAACTGCTATCATAGGGTACCAGCTCCACTCCTGCTCCCACAGCACCACCAACAACAATTACTACTGAAAACCAAGATTGGAAGATGAGGGTGGTGATAATAACGACAACAGTGATGATAGCGACGACGAAGATGAAGATGCACTTGGTAGTCAAAGAGGATCCCGACGAAATTCAACCACTACAATACCAGCCCCGTTAACAATAGGATTGATTCCTGAAGTTCACCAATATCTGCCAGCTGGATTCGACATAACTGATCGTTGGCATCGATATAAAATGAAGTCATTGGATATTGCAACAAACATAGCTTACATGTATCCTCCCACCCTCAAAAAGTAATGTAAGTATTATTTTAGAAGAAACAAATAGTTAACAAAGAATGCATCTAAGCTTATTATTGAAATTGACTATAGGTCATTGTATCACGTCATGTTACTTTGTCCTAATACCAGTGATGATGATATGATCGAGTTATTTGGCATTGATATACTGGATACAATTTATACACATTTCAAAAACAAATACTTTGATCGAAGCATTGAATTTGATATAAGCTTATTCAACAAATCAAAGATATTGTTGAAGTAAGTCGAGGATAAAATGAGAAATGAGAGAGAGAGAAGGAGATGCTTACTGCATCTTCAATTTATAGCAATTAAAAGAGGGTGACAAGGAAATGAGTCGTACCAAGGCTATCATCCAATTAGCCAACATAATGGAACGTACTCAAGATCACAATATTCCCATCCTTCAAATACTCATCAACTAGTCATCATTATGTAAATCACATATGCCATACCACTTATGAAAAAAGCATTATCTATTAACTAAAATCAACATCAGTGTCACCAAATTATCCAAGACTGAAGAGAATTACATTGTCAAGGGAACTGAGCTCATCACTAATTATTTAGATCCAGTAATAAGTCCTATGTTTCATGATCCTGATAACAATCGTCTTTTCTGTTGGTAAAAAAATTTTATATTTAAATCTTTTAAAAATTGTTTCCAAATATTATATTCTCTATTATATTTTCTCCATTAATATTCCCTTAAATATAATAGCATATCATTCTTATTTCTATTTCTTGGATTAATACTTTATTTAATCCATTCCATATTCCTTCTATTGTATTTGTATGAACTTGTGTTATTAGATCTTTGAAATATTTTTCATGATCTATAGTTTTATGTTTATATCCTATATTTTTTAAATTATTAAAGCCTCTCTATTCATCTGTATATATTGTTGTTCCTTTTCTAACATATTTTACAATACTTTTGTCAATACCAATAATATCCCTTTTTTTATATAAGCTAAAAATAATTTTTTTATTTTTATTTTTCTTTTATTTTTTAAAAGACTTTCATTCAATGCCTCCAATAACCCAAGCACCTTCAACTTTATAACCTTTATTATTTTTTCTTTTTGCAATTTTTGATTCATCTATTTCAACAATTTAATTCTGACCTCCTATTTTTCTGTTTTTATTAAAATGTAATCTATCTTTTAAATACTTCCTAAATAATTTATGATATAATGTTACAGTATTTCTATTAATTTGTAAAGTTGCAGCAATACTACTATATAGCATTTTTAATATATGTAATTGTAAATCCAGAGGAAGCTTTATTTTTGAATTATTGTTCCTTTTAAAGGTGAAAATGCTTTCCTACATTTATAATTTCTACATGCATAAATTTTCATATTTAAATATAATTTTGTTTTCTTATTACAATATGAACATTCCTTATATTTATTAATATAATTATTATTTATCAAATATAATAATGCTGTATCCTCATTATTAAATATTTTTTTTAAATTTATATAAGGCTCAGTAAACATTTTCAATATTATTAAAAATATTCAATTTTTACTATTTAATAAGTTTCAAAGATTAGAATTTAAAATTTATCTGCCAATTATCTTAAGACACATCTAACAATAATATATACAGGTAGAACTGTAAAACTTGCAGCAAGAGAGAGTAATATATTTAGTACGATCGTACAATTCAAGGAGCCTGGGCAGTACAAGTAGTGATAGCAGAAAGCAGTAATAGTAATAGTAGTACAGTAGCAATAGCATAAGTGATTTAGTAATTGTTTTATATGATATGTTTCTAACCAACCTTGAGTGACATACAAGTTTCATTGACACAATATTGTTTTTTTAACTGCAGAATCGAAAGAGAAGAAGTGATGAAGAACAAGAGGTATTTATTTGTTGTGTATAAAAAAAATAAGAGATGTTATATTGTTACAGTTAAAAATGAATTTAACTTTTTTTGTGTATCTATCAGCAGGAGTCGCCAAACAAGAAGGCACACAATATCACGCTTGTAGATATATTTTATTCGTACCAAAGAGAAGCAGGAGAGATCGCAAGTAACAATGAAGGAGTGTGTTTGGAAAGCGATGTCTACGAAATTCTGTATATATGGCTAGGCAACACTGTTGATGAAGTGATAATTTCGTATTACATATACTCATAATCGTAAATGCTTTATTTATTAGAGCCATTGAAGATATCTTGCTGTTAAAAGAATTCCATCATTCAGACATGATCAGGGAACACTTTACCAAAAAAATTTTAGCTGCATTGTACAGCTATTTTACAAGTCTACTGTATGATAATACCAAAATGTTTGATGTAACCACTGTCGCTACCATAAGTTCATTGTTGTATGTAAGTATTACTGAATTATTTTCAAGTAGTTGTTTTTTTTATATCTTCAGTAGCTGATAAGAAGTATTGTTTTTTTCTAGGAATACAAAAAACCAGCAAAACATCTAGACACTGTAAAAGGTACTAAGAATAAGTATACCTATGGCCTGATAAACTTTAGTGAAGGAAAATCTGAAGCTAAGCAATCAATTTTATTTAGCTTAGCTTCGATGTAAATATATTTACAGTTTTTGGTGTTATATACATATAGCTTACAAAAAATACTACTATTAAATAAAAATAAATCATAAATAAGATATGGTGGATTTTGAGATAGATTTCTTAAAATATGATAAATAAGAATTCTATTTTTAAAAATATTAAATAATGTTTATCTCTCCTGAAATAAAAGTACTATATTTAATGATCATATGATTATTAATGAATATTGATAAATAAGAAGTAAAACTCTAATAACAACTGTTTTAAAAAGATAAGAATATAAGAATCCTTTAATTTTGATTTTAAGAATAAAATAAATCCTTCTAGTTATTACATTTTTTTTCTCTTTATATTTTTTATACTTATAAAATCATCTTTATCAATGCCATATATTTTAATTAATGTTAATTTTATCTTGATTTATATAATAAAAGAATTAAAGTATTAACAAAATTTATATTCATAGATAGTATTTAAAAATAAAATTAATGAATTATAAAAATTTTGTAAAAAATGTTTATTAATATATGGAGCTATCAAAAATATTATAAAGAATCCAAAAATGTATAAAAAAAACTTTAATAAGAATTGAAAGTAATTACAGTGGTTCCCCGTTTAATTTCACTCTCAATAAGATAAACCCTCAGTTATTTTCAACTTTTTTCTATACCCCTTTAAGCATAGAAGACTGCTTGAATCACCCTCGTTTTGTGTCACCCTCAGTAGTTTCAATACTTTATAGACCCCCTTTGAGGTTGAAATTAAATAGGAATAAAGATTTTATAAAATTAAATAGTATAAATAGATGTGATAATTTGAAAATTATGAACTTGTTAAAAAATGATTATATGAAGTGGATAATATAATTCTATATAACCTTATTGGTTATTTGAAAGTAATAAAAGATTAGATTAAAAAATTAGAAATGTATAAATCTGTAACCTATTTTCATAATCAACCTAGTTTTTACTCAATATTATATAAAGCATAAAATAGTACAAGAACAGACTTGCTTATACAGGATTTTTCATCTCCTAGCAGACGTTTGAACTTTTATTTAGGCAGAAGGGATTTAATTTTAGGCAGAGTGGACATGAATGTTAATCTAAGTGGACATGAATTAAGTTAATCTGGATATGAATAATAATTGATCTGGACATGAATGAAAATCGAGCTGGACATGAATGAAAATCGAGCTGGACATAAATGAAAATCGATCTAGACATGAATGAAAATCGAGCTGGACATGAATATAAATTGACCTGGATATGAATAAAGATCGATCTGGACATGAATAAAGATCGATCTGACATGAATATAAATTAACCTGGACATGAATATAAATCGATCTGGGCATGAGTAAAATCAATGTGGACAAAATAAAAATCAATCTATACATAAATGAAAATCGTTCTGGACAAGAATAATAATCAATCTAAACATGAATAATAGACAACCTGAACATAATAACAGTCAACCTGGACATAGTTTTAGTCAACTAAGACATAATAAAAGCTGAAGTAGATAATATATTAAGTGTAGCAGAGCAGAATATTTGAGTACTTAAGATTTTCAATTCAAGTACCTACATCTCTATGCTAAGAAAATGTAAATAATAAGGGCCTGCATTATACGTATACACTTTCTGCCTTCTTTATTTGGATCCATCTTAAGGTTCCGTTTATTCATAGAAGTATATCTTATCTATAACCCATTCTTGTGACATATTATAAGCCCTTCAAAAAATTATTATAAATGGTTTATTATTATTATTAATTACTGTAATAAAGGTTATACTGCAAACAGGGTATTATATTACACTATCATAAGGTAGAGAAGAATTGATCACGCATATATTTCTTGTTGGGTGTTGTATATATATAGATATAGGTAATATTTGGGGACAAGAATAGTAATTGTTTGGATAATACAGTTGTCCTTGCCACACTGTAAAAAATAAAAGATACATATTGTTCTGTCAATTGGCCGCTAAAGAAAGTTGTCCATATTACACGCTCAATTAAACTGATATGTACCTATAGAGTAATAAGATTTACTTTTGACAAAAGCATGTACTGCATATAATAAAAACCTTTAATATAAGATGGTACCAATGTCCACTATAAATCGCACCCACGTAATTGGTAATATTCACAATCTAGTAGATATCCTTTAATAAATATCAAAATAATCCTTCTGCTTAATACTTTCAATTTCCAAAATTTATTTATTATTCAACAATATCCTTTATATATATGACAGCATGTAATTCAATAACAACCCGTTTTGGATGGCAAAGTTTATATAATACGTAATAATGAAGCATTAAAAAATCTAATTAATTCATATGAGGTGCTATAACTACATCTTATATTGAGTAAAAAAATCAGAAACAAGCTTTCCTTGATATAAAGAAGTGACGTCCAATTTGAACTCCAAACAGGGACCGCACCGCTAATGATATAAAAGCTTGGTTACATGTGCTTGTTCTTTCTGGCTACGTATTCAGTAATGTTTTTTATAGCTTCATCCTTGGACCATTCTTGATTTTTCATATACATTATTTTCATTCTTAGAACGTACAAGTTAATCATCAGAATAAGATATATAAGAATAAAAAAGGGATTATGTTTACTTATTCTTCTTTAAAGTGCAATTTGCGACGAGCACGATCAAGAGCTTTTTCATCATTTTGTAACATCTTTAAAACCTAAAAATACAAACAGTATATTTATAATAAGTGATTCGTATAGATACCAACCATATCAATCTTGATATACATTATATTCCGAAATGCGAACCAGCGAATCGAACGAAGGAAGTGTCATGTCTTGGCTGTTGTTTTCTTTAATTCTGATGGTTTTTTTACATAATCTTGCAGCTTCTAAAACCATTATCTACAAAAGTAATTTAATCAGAGCCTATCCTCCTTATTCAAATCCATTTGTAGTAAAATAATCATAGTAACTTACTCGTACGTGATTCATTACTTGAAATACACCGAGCATAGTGTCTATGTTGTTAATACTTGTAGGAATATAAAACGTGCCCACATCTACCAATCTGTACATTCCATGATACTTTAAATCTAGACAAAGAACACGACAACGGTATCCTATAAAACAAAACAAGAAAGTCAGATCCAATTTTGACGATATGTAAATAGATAACAACATAAAAATAAAGTCTAAATATACCTTCAGATACAATAGCATATAATTCGAAGTCATTGCAATCAACACCATCTCTAACAGACTTTTCTATATAATCTTTTAGACAGTTTGCTGCCTTGAACAGATCGTCGCTATTTCCCGCTCGTGGAGGTTTACATTCTATTAAGCAAAGTAGTTGGCTTTTAGCTCCATTAATTACACGTATAAACAATAAAATCTCCTTGTTTTCCACCTGATTCGGAACCAAATACTTTCTTTCTTTCTTTCGATCCAATGATTTCGCCATTTGTGCTATGTATTTATTTATTTATTCATATGTTAGATCAGATCCTCATTATAGATATACTATTTTATAATAATAACTATATATAAATATACATACCCTTCTGTACTTATCAATTGGTCATTTAGAAAGTAATTCTTAAGGATGGGTGTGAGGGTATCTTTGACAAACGTGTCTTCATTAAATTTTGATGGATCATATACATCGGAATACGATTTGAACCTTCAATAAATACATAGATAAATAAAAATAGGACTACTAGCCTCTGTTGTTTGATACAGGTATCCAGCATTGTCAATGTTTAAACCTACATGTCACATAAGATGTCCTGATACAGTGTGGTTTCTTCTGAATCATCTTCTACTGCCCATTTTCTGACCAATGTCTTTGCTTCATCAATATTTCTTCTGGCAGCCTATATATAGTAACAAGTATAAATATATATATTCGCTTTGATAAATATAAATATGATATATATTATTTACTTACCTGACTAATTTTCATTATCCATAAAACGTATTTATTACTAATATCGTCTATACGATGCTCAGCTTTGACACTTTTGACCATAGTAGACCAGACAAATGGATCCATTTTATTTCTAATCGCTGACGATGGTGTAATGTAGTAGATAAAGTTAAGTGCCCTAAACACAATCACATCATATTAGCTATTCAGGGTCTTTTAATAGTCGATTTGTACATGCTGAATTAACACACACAGACTTACAATCTATCAACTATTGATAACAATTCGAGCTCCTTTGCCTCTTTCACGACATCTGACCGATACTTTAAAAATTCATCTACCAAATCCATATCCGAACTGATCCACTATTTAACAGAGGTTAGTTAGCACGAAATAAATCTCATGGTTTTTTCGAGAGAGAGGATAGAAGTATACCAACCTTTTTGCAATTAGATGGGCGATCATATTGTTCCAAACCACCACCAACCAAGTAATCATAGGCAAATTTTTATTTTCGACGGATTTTTGAAGTTTCTGATGAACATTCACTTTGGCTATCAGGGTTGAAAGAGCCATCGTCGGTTTCGCTGTCAGAGATCTAAGATAATAATAGAACAAGAAGTTATTAATAGATAATAAAAATAAAGTATATTTAAATATGGAGGAGATCACATCTTTTTACTAGAGCATCGCCTTTTTCCTCTTCAAGTTGTTCGGTATTCTGAGAAGACACTAATAAAGAAAAGTTAATTACACGTTAGTTTCTAACTTTCCTAACAAGTATTCATTATTCATTTAAATAAAGACATATTCTAATAAGCAGAATTAGAGGCTTTATCCTCGGGTCGTAGATACATGAGGGGTGATTCCTCGCGAACGTTTGATAACTAGAAAATGTAGTCTGAATTAGTAAAATAAAAACATTTATAATTTTGAAAACAATAATGAAATGGTTACATACTGACTCAGATGCTTCTCCACAGAATTCATAATATGTTCTTTTTCCTTTCAAGATCGCAACGCTTTTAGTCGTTCCAACCCAATATGACTGCAAATCAACATTACTCAAGATCTAATAGTATAAAAGTATGTAAGAACTTGTTGACCTTTACGTTTTTGTCTTCTAATTTAGAGAACTTACAAGGAACTTGTTACGAACTTGTTCTAATGCCCACGATTGAGCTGCGCTTGTTTTCCAATATGAAACAGTCTTAACGGCTTTCTTGAATTCTTTTTCTGCTGCTTCCTGGTCTGTCAATTTCGATGCTCGAAAGCAGCCAACAATATCAAAAGAAGGACCTGCATGATCTCGAATGTAAGAAGTAAAAGTGAACGTCATGATGACAGAAATTGAAAGTGATCGATAAACAAAAAGTTGATGGGAGGGAAGGAAAAGGTTGTTGATCGTTCTCTGGTGCCTCTAATTAGAGGGTGATGAAAAATCGTGCACCACTTTTTTGCATCCCCCCCCATCGTGCACCTAAAAAACGAGTCACACTAGCTAATAGTGCACCATTACTGGTGCACTATGAGGATAAAGCAATAAAAAAATGTGCACCATGACACATCTCACCTTCATGTTAACACATTGTATATTTTACATCTTATAAAATACAAAAAAAAATTGCATAATGCACACACACACACACACACACATATATATATATATATATATATAATATTGTTATAACACATATGTTTATTTCTTTATATAAGATTTCAATATAGTTTATATTTTCTGGTAACAAGCAAGTACTGGATAGGTGATTTTGGCGAAAATGCCTTTGAATTCTTCTAGTTATTCACTAAGAACCTTTACTCCTGGTCTTTTCATGTTATCCATACTGGCAATAAACGGTCCATTTGGTGTTTCAACTACAGCTGTCGTTTTGAAATGATAGCCAAGTCTTTCCGTTGATGATATGGTGCATACTGTCTTAAACCATGAATAAATTCGATCACCGACATGAAAAAAAAGGAATCCTATCAGGGCTGTCTAAAATGAAGTTATCGATATTCTGTGACGTAGAACATGTTTATAAAGGTATTCTTAACACATTGTACGTTTTTGTTTTTTGAGAAAAGCATTTCTCATCGCTCTGATAGCCTTTGAAGTTTTGTCGGGATATGAAAAGTTACTAAGTAGGTGGAGGATTTCGACAGTTGTTTGGGCAAGGAGAAGAATTTTTTTGGCAGTGTGTAACCATAGATGTCCTAAGGTTACACACAAATAGCTGGCTTATCCAGTAATATGAGTGCGTTACTGCTCTTCTTACTCACCCATTTTCCCAATAACACGCCTGTGGTGAACCACATTAATACACTGCTTAAGATATCAACAATAAGATATTCAGTTAAACATTATACCACACAAGAAAACCTCTCACTCAGATGATTTACCTTACGTGAGCAGGACAATGAACCTATCAACGGGTACCTCGGCCATTACAGCAGCCAGCTAATGCCGGTTTCAAAGATGTGCCCAATTAACATAGCGACTTCAAGAGAAGTTCTGATACATCCTTGATCCATCCTCTATCACATAGTTTATCCACTAAATGGATAAATTAATATCGCCGTCTTAATAGCTAGAATATAAAAAAGCTTTGATTAAAACATCATCTCAAAGATACTTGATCTTGTTCCTTATTATTTAAGCTCTATCATTACAGCGCCTAACAATGGCTCCCAGATCCAACAAACAAAAACGCACCTTAGAACAGCTTCAAAGCTCAAAAAACGGAAGATTTCAAAAAGTTGCAAGACTAGAAGAATCGTCAATTGTTGAGAACCAGACTTCATCTGATGTGACTGAACAAGAATCAAACGTCTTTGAGATTCTCACTGCGTTCGAAGAAGCAACAGAAACCACAACGACAACGACGACAGCCTTTACAACAAGCCAAAAGTTTCCTATTATTTGGGACAATAAAGCAGATGCGAAGTCCCGTGGCAAATATTGGGGACACGGCAGAACCACCAAATACTACCAGCTAGAGAAAGCATCAGAAAAGAAGAAAGGGAATTATGAAATCACTTCCTTCTTTCATAAGGATGATGAAGTAGAGGTTGTGTCGGAGGACTTTGTGCCAGTGCTGACTGTCGAAGAAGCATTTTTGAAACTTACCCCAATTATCCAACCTGAAATGAACTCAAAAAAGGACAAGGAGCGAAACATGAGCGACTATGAGCTACGATTGAAAGGTATTGCGGTGCAGGGAAACGAAGTGTGAAAAAAGAGTGTGAATACTCGTTTACAGCTCTTGAAAAAAGGCTCGAGGATTGCTTGGATCAGGTATCTCCACCTGATGAACCACCTGCAGAAATTCGCCGTTACTACAACCGTTGCTGGCGCTATATTCATGCATATAATGAAATGAAAACTGGAAGCGAAGCTCTTAAGCTAGTTGAAAAGTTTACGACACGCAGATATCGCTCTCATAGAAGAAGCGGAACAGAAGATTAAATCTACACGTTGCTATCAATATACAAAGAAATGTCTACTATTGGATTGGCTGACAATGCCTACATATGTAGCGGCTATTCTATTATCCAGCGGCACTTTAAAAAATCTCAATTTTCGACAATTCATGGTTTAAGACAGTATGCACCATATCATGGTAATAAGTCGATAATTGTTGTTTAATAGCAATTGCATATCATATGGAAATGGAATATTACCTTCTTCTTCAGGGAGTGAAGAAAACGTATTATCACAGAAGAAAAGAAAAGGATGGAGGTGATGTGTTGGTAGATAATATGTAGTTGCTGGCTTTTGACAAAAGAAACAACGTTTGTCCACCTTGAGTCTCAGTAGATGCTTTTCAAAATATTTGGTGAAATTTTCTGCTGGAGACCCTTTTAAAACCTTTGCTGCAATCAAACTAGTTGGATTTGGCTCGATTACATGGCTGAATGTTGAATATGGATCTGTCGAAGTATCCATAAAACAAATATGCTTTTGATTATAAGGCCATTCATTGATACGTTGTCGTCTGATGATAAAAAGATCCTTGAACTGTTGCGAACATTGGTCGATGAATTAGATGGCGATTTCACAAGTGTCGTGCATTTGACCTCTTTTGAAACTTGGCATATTTTGATAAATAAAAGATCTCATTTGATTAGATGCATTACGTCGACGTAGAGTATGTGTCATTTCAAATGTTATAAGTATATTATCAAATATGTTGGTTGAATCAAAAGGAGTTGGGTTGATACGTGGTAAAAGACAATGCCAAATCATTTCCACAAATGCATCGATATAACAAGACATCATTGAGTTAGCATTCAGTGACAAGTCATATCCAGTAGAAGGTTGAAGTGATGGTTCAAGTCTGCGTTTTTTTGTTTGATGATGATGAATAGTGTTTTCCGAAATATTTGATCGAATTAGTAGAGAAGAGCTGTTATTGTTTATTGTTGTGGGTGAATCAATAGTGTTGTCAAAATCATTTAGATCAATATATTCATGTGAATCTTCATGTTGTATTTGTATTTGACAAGGAGACATATTTTGAGGTAATTCTGGTTGGATATGATGCCAATGCAAGGTCCATCGTCCGACAGCAAGAATCCTCTGCCCATTATTATGTAGCATCTCAATAACCATCATTGGGCTATCAACGATACGAAAGGACACATTATCAGGATGGATGGCCTATTATCAACTCGATGTGTATAAAGACATACCGATCAATGGGTAATGTTGATGGCCCGCATAAAACAAAGTGGCGTTATCTGCAGATAAAAAATCGTGACGACGAAAGACAGTGCGTGCTGGACCCTTTACACTGGATTAATCATTCTACTACTTCCTATACAATAATTTCCTCTCTTCTCGAGCACCACTCTCTTCATTTTATATATTCTGGTATAAGTTAAATAGCGATGTTGATCAGATTTACTCTATACCTTCAAGGAACATTATATTTTCATCACTTTGATATATGGCTATCCCATTATATGGAACCTATGAGAAATAAAAGAACAAACCACTTAGGTATACATAATTTTGCGGACACCCCACAAGTATATATTTATAGGATGTGTGTATGATAACCTGATGAGGATTAAAAATGGAAGGGGGTGTTCGTATCAAAAGCCAATGGCTAACCAACCGTCATTGTCTTCATTCGGTACAGCGGAAGAGAAGCCGTTGATGGTGGATGAGAATTGTTCGCAATCTTCAAATTCTCGCCTTATCCTACTGTACACATATTCTACTCGTGTGATACACTGATTTTCATAGCGTATATCCGCTAGAAACTACATAGTAAAACACGAGGCTATCACAATGCTTTTTTGCGAGGCTATCACAATGCTTTTTTGCCGCAAATATCATCATTATGCGTTACAATGCAGCTTGTTAATGAAGTATATCTTAAATTTATGAACACAGGAACAAGTATTTTGTAATACAGATAAAAAAGATATGAAACAGAAAGCAGACATGTATTATAAAGTTTACTAGAGTAGAGAGAAGAGTGGTATTATTTAAGCGGAAGTCTATAGTGACTTACGCCAATAGGCATGTGGTCGCTTCCTTGTGGAATAAAATGAATTGGAAAATCATATATTAAAGTAATGAATGTAAAGAGGTATTAACTGGAAACTCCACAGTACTGGTAATAGTGCATAATGGTTTGTGTAAGCATTTAGTTTTCTATCCAAATTATCCACCCAAAAGCTTGATTATCGACATGTATCTCTGTCCTTGACCAATCCAGAAACAGTCTCATGCATAGCAATAGAAGTAGGGAGCGAAACCAAACACAGCGACGCTACCGATTGCTTTTGATGCGAACATGCGCGCAGATGAACGCAGCAACCGTCACTAAGGGCGTCATGCCTAATTTTAAGAAATAAGATGCTCTGGCACAAGTCCATCACGGCATGCTGACCTCCACGGGAACTATTTAAAGTGTATGACCACCGAAGTGGTACGGCCGATAGGCTTCCTTTGCTGTGTTGGCTCCCCATAATCACTCTAAACAAAAAGAAAGAATGCACTCATCAATAAGGCAATACCAAAGGTTCTCAATTCGCTTTGCTGTTGTTACCTTCAACACCGATACCAGGGAAACAAGTGAGAGAGCCAAACACAGCGACGCTACCGATTGCTTTTGATGCGAACATGCGCGCAGATGAACGCAGCAACCGTCACTCAGGGCGTCATGCCTAATTTCAAGAAATAAGATGCTCTGGCACAAGTCCATCACGGGCATGCTGACCTCCAAGGGAACTATTTAAAGTGTATGACCACTGAAGTGGTACAGCCGATAGGCTTCCTTTGCTGTGTTTGGTTCCCCATGAATCACCTCTAAACAAAAAGAAAGG